AAACAGCACTGAGATTCATGTTTCAAATCATGACGGATCAGGTTAGAGCATACCTGACCTCAAACTTTTAAGCTGGCTTCTCAAGCTGCAAACATGGCATGAGGCCCACCTGTAGCGTATTGGCAAGCATGGTGTTTTATTGTAGATAAATCATCCAGGTTTTCAGTGGAAGCACAGGTGCATGGAGACAGGATTTTAAAGATATCAGCTCTTTTCCTTAGAGAAGATGACCTTTTAGCTGGGTGTGCAGCTATTGTGGACAATAATGAACTTGAGCTTGCTGATACAGTAAGGTTTGAGCTACACTTTGCGTTCTCTCGCAAGGTTAAACTGTTGACTGCCCAGCTCCTAACGAACCATCCTCAAAGCCTAGAGAGATCTGGGGTGCGGGAGGCTATAAAGGGGGTGGTAAGCATCCCCCTAGCATCACTTCTAACTTGAATTGCTGGTAAATACTGTGTGAAAACAGCTTCACATGCGCGGCGTGGTGTGTAGATGGCGCTGTCAGACCGCTCTGCAGCTGGACGTCTGCGGGCTGCAGGGAGAAGCACAGTCTGGGATGGTGCCCAGCTTATTTGCTGTGTCAGCTTTCTTCTTGCCTTTCCTCTCTGAGACTGTAGGTATCCTCAAGCAGAAGACTGGGTGGGGTTCAACTGACTTTTGCTTATCTGTGCTTCAGCAAAATGACAACGTTTGCTGTTAATCCCTAAGCAGAGAGCGAGGAGGCTCTGGGTGAGGTAAGGCTGGAGAAGCTGCCAGGCCGTTAGATCTGCATCGTGTTGGCACCGATGATAAGACCCAGGAAAGGAAAGCTATTCCTGCTACCTCAAGTGGAAGCCCCAAGTGATTAACACTGTTAGTGTAGCACAGGTGAATTGAGGAGAAGCCCTGTTTATTCCTGTCACAGCTCTAATTAAATTTATAACGTTGCCCCTGCTAGCTGATTTAACAGTAGGTCGATACATCTGCAGTATTTTGTAGTTACTTTTGTGTCTGAGTGAAGGCATGTTTGTGCAGAACAGCACGACTGTAAGTCATGCTGCAGTCTTTTGCTGTTACTTGGAACTGCTAAATGGACATTGAAAATCCTGATTTTAAACAAGCAGGACTTTTTTCTTCGTTAGAAGTCAGGCTTAAAAAAAATGTTTCTCACAATACACTTACTTCTTTGTAATGTATTTGTTGTTTGATATGTATAATATTTCTCTGTATGCTTCCCACACAATGTTGGCAGATCTTGCCCTGTTCTGACTAAATTAACAGGGATATGTGGTTTAATTGATTGACTTGCTCAGGAAGTGCTTGACTTCAGCTTGTGAACCTTCCAGATTTTACCTGTAATATTTTTATTAACAATCATATATTGCTCTCATTACATGTCTCTGGTGGTGTGGTTGTGTCATGTTAAACAACTTTAATTTAGGCTATCATTTGGAAGGAAGGAAAACAGGCATATGTTGTTGAAGTTCATATTTACCAGAAAAACGGTGAATGCTTCTCAGTTTGCATCTGCAGAGTCTGAAGTGTCCAGCTGAGAGTGTGCTTACACCACGTTACAAGGTGCATGTAAAGATGCACGAACCTGTTCAGCACCTTGTTCTTGGCAGCATTGAGTTCTGCAGAAGCTAATTTAACTTTTTTGGAATTTTTATATAAACATTATTTAGATAGAGGTTTCTGTTACAGTAACTGGGTTTTGTTAGGTAGCTTCCTATCTCTGCAGCATTACACTGTACAGGCATAATCCCAGAAATGGAATGGAGAGAAACTCAATATCCTGGAGTTCGTAAGAGAAGCAAAGGGTATGGATGAGAAGTGAGAAATTTCTTGCCAGCCCTTTGAGATGATCGGTGTTTACCCCCCGGCTTCCTTCCAGAAATGGCTTACTTCCATCGTTTACTTGTTGTGGGTAGCTTTTTCAGGTGTGTGGAAGGCCTTCATCCCACTCTTCTAAGGGAATACATTCTTTTGAAACAAATTTTCAACTGATGTTAGCTATAAAGGTAAAAATCAGCTGGAGCTTCTTTCTGTCAGATGGTGTGATCATTGGTGTTAGCTGTGAAACCTGTGGTCTGCTTAGAGCTATTAAACCCGCTGAAGTGTGTTTGAGCAGAGTAAGATCAAAAGAAGTCTTGTTTAAAGGAATCAACTGGAAACAGATAATTAAATCCTGGCTTCCTTGATGTCTTTTTCTGGGAGGCCAGAGAATTCCCAGGCAGGCTGAAAACCCAAACATCACTAGTAAACTTTCTCCACAGAGGTATTATTTAGCATGCTTCACTGTTACGTTTTTCGTTAAGTAGTTACTGGAATTACTGTGTTGTGTTACAGGTCGTTCTTCTAGAGAAGGTGTTTGCTGTGGGGCTGTTTTCTTTGTTGTGTGGGGTTAGTTGGGGTGTGTTTTGTTTTTTTTTAAATCTGACAGTCTTTTCCCTAGAGAAGGTGTTTGCTGTGGGGCTGTTTTCCTTGTTGTGTGGGGTTAGTTGGGGTTTGTTTTGGTTTTTTTTTAAATCTGACAGTCTTTTCACACCTTCATTGGGTCCTTTAAGTGGTGAGAGTGTTTGAGGGCTGGGGAACATGTATGGATTCTGCTTTCCTTGTGAGGACTACCTGGGGAGCCTTCTGACCGCCTTGCAGAAGATTGACCTGCTGATGTGATAACTTACTGAAGCCCATATGTACGCAGTCTTCTGCTAAAGAGTTAGGACAGATTTGGCCCAATGCTGACAAGAAGTGCAGGGAGCAGGGGAGCTGTATAATTAACCGTCTCATAATGGCGATTGGTGTCACATAGTTACTTATATCCAAGATTCGACTTGGCCTGGTTTGTCCACGTATGTGGTAATGAGATGACTCGCCTTTTCAACAGATATACCCTAGCTCTTCTGTTCTTCTTGTTAAACTTCTTGCAGTGTGTAGAAATACTTGAATGGTCATAATCTGAGGAAGATGTAACCTCTTAGCTTCTAACTCTGGAATGATAAAAGATCCCTCCTAATGTTACTGCTAACTCTGTAGTTGCATGAGTGGGTCTCGGATGTATGCAAACAATTATTCTCAGGTGTATTCTGAAATCTACTTTTAGTGGTAGCATTGCCCACTTTATGGGGTATACTTGAAGTTTAATTTGCTTTGAATAGAATTATTGCTTTCACTGTCTTCACCAACTTCATTATCTCCAGGTAATATTTTCTGATGGCATCTTTTTAATTGCTATTTCATCACTCAGGTTGGTTGTTGTCTCTTTTTTTTCCCCATTAGCAGTTTTGTTTTCCCATGTGGAGCATGTGACCAGTTTGAGGCAGGGGAAGAGATGTTCATATGTGGGGAGGAGGAGGAATCTCCCTCCTGCTTTAATTTTATGACCAACTGTGGTTTCTGGCTCCTGCTTATACATATGGCACCTTTGTTCTTCTCTGTCCTCCTCTTTCTTTGGGAAACGTTTCAGTAATGTTGTGGGCATGTATGCTTTTCTTTTAAGCACACCTGCCTTGTTATGCACTCTTTTATACTGTAGATAATCTGAAGCTGTGAAGAAATGAGTGTTTCCTACTGTAATGGTTTTTACAATGTCAGAGGTTTTTTTTTCATGAATAAGCAAACATCTTTCTTCTCACTTTACAAGTTACAAACAAGATTTTCCTTGTTATCTGTTGCTTAAAATCCAAGCAGTTACTTCTGCACCCTGCAAGTGTGATGCTTATTATGCATATCTTTGACTCTTCAGATCTGTGTGCAGGCTTTCTGGCTAAAAATAGTGGTTCAGGGATTCTTTCATTACGTGCCCAGTCTTGGTTGCAGTGTCAAAAACTATTACTGAGATATAATCCTTTGACCTGTGTATAATGAGCTCTTGATCTCAGTTGAGTTCCTTGTGGACATGTGTCCGAGGCATATAAGTGGTTTTAGTAACCGCTAATTGGCACTTTAGTTGCTGTCGCAGCAGTGTGCGAGGGCACGCGTGCAGCTTTGTCACACAGAGTTCACGTTTCTGATTATGAAATGTGTTTTTGCTGCCACCAATGTTATGGTCTAGGGTTCCTGTTTTGAATTCTCCCCCACCCCCTTAAAAATTACTTCTGTGTTAGTCTATGACCCTGCAACATTATCAGAATTGAGGATGTGACGTTCTATAACCTCTATTCAAAATCCGAGTACAAATCTAGGCTAAGAGGCTTTTGATTCTGCTCTGAAAACTGATACCAGGCAAGCAGGTGCAGAGAAGAAAAGTGAAAAGCATTGTACCTTTCTCAGTACCACAGGTGGTGTGGTACCTTTTTTGAGAATTATTTGGCTTGCTTGTTGCTATGTTTAGGAGTTTAACTCTTTAAAAAAAAAAAAAAAAAGAGGAGTTCTGGGTAATGCTACAGGTTCTGGAAAAACACTAACAGTAGTGTAACGAGGCTAGAGTCTTATTTGGCATCAGGGCTAAAACTACTTACTGTGAGCATCCCTGGGAAACTTTTTGTTGTTGTGTTTTATTTCTGCTGCTCTGCACATGTAGGGTATTACCTCACCATTTTAATGTAATCCTTCACTTTTGTAATAACATGTTCTACATAAAACTCTTCTTTAAAGCAGAAAAAAGAAAGTAGGGGACCATGAACCTCCTATGGAAACTGAGCAATGCTTACGGTGTTCTGTGTAGCTTGTCAGCTTCCTAATGATGTTAAGATCCAAATAGTCAACCTCTACAGCGTTGGCTTTTGGGACACTTACTTGAAGATGGATTTAAAGAATGTATCTTTATTTTCTGCACAGAATGTGGTTCTGTCAGGGGGATCCACAATGTTCAGGGACTTTGGACGACGACTGCAAAGGGATTTGAAAAGAGTAGTGGATGCAAGATTGCGACTTAGTGAGGAGCTCAGTGGTGGTCGGATAAAAGTAAGTAAGATTTTCAAGTGCATTAATTACATGAGTAGCGAAAGAAGTAAAGTTCAGAATTTTCACCTCACTAGTGAAAATGCAGTGTTGTGAAATGAGTAGCATATATATATATGTGGTGTTAAACGTGCTGGTAGTCTTGCAACATATGCTGTGTCTTTACAGGCATCTTACAGTTACTATGAGCAGCCTCTAAAGGCATTTCTGGTTTCCCTTCTAGGAGATACGTGATGTTAGCAGTAGGCAAGAGAGATTTAACTGTTGTCTCCTTCAGCATATTAATCATGAGGAGTTTTATGACTTGGTCTCCTGGGGAGCATGGCAGACTGAGTAATAAGTGTGAGATAGTGGTGTGAATGGAGGGGTGAAGATGTCTGAGCATTTTCGGTTTGTAAGGATCTTTTCAGAAAATATAAACCAACTAAATAGGAACTGCTCTTTCATAGCCCAAACCGGTTGAAGTTCAAGTGATAACTCATCACATGCAGCGTTACGCAGTTTGGTTTGGCGGTTCCATGCTGGCTTCAACAGTAAGTCTTTATCAAAAATGTTCTTAACTTTTTTTATTGTACGTTGTTGTCTGGCTGACTTGATCTAAGTACTAAGTACTTTTCATTCTGACAGCCTAAACTGTGTCACATTTTGGAATCCTTACCCAACTTTTATCTCAGTGAAATTTGTACAGGGAAAGTAGGAGCTTTGCCTGAGTAAGGATATAATGATTTGACATAATTCTGAAGTAGTTTTTATGATAGTTGCAATATAGTCCCTTTATTATTGAAGTCAGCACTAGAGATTAGTTTGGACTTCAGGAATATAGGGTCCGAATCGATGGTCTTAAACCCACGAGAGAAGCAAATACAGGAAAATGGGAGCAATTCCTGTCTCCCAGGTGGGATTTCTTGTTGCTGTGTTTAAAAACAGTCTTCTGTCCAGACAAATTTTTCTTGATTAATTGTATTCATATCCTTGTATTTCTAGTTTTATTTTATTCCAAAAACGTAATACCACATCATAAAGCTCCAATCTACAAAAATGTTAAGGCATTAGTTTATTTGTCAGTTTTTCTACTTGATATATTCTTACACTTTTGAGGGGATTTGTTTTATATTTTTGTAGCCAGAGTTTTTCCAAGTTTGTCACACCAAGAAAGACTATGAAGAGTATGGCCCTAGTATTTGTCGTCATAATCCTGTTTTTGGAGTCATGTCATAATGCTCGTCTAATGGAAACAAGATCTTTGATATCTTGCTGGTGAAGAAACTCACGTAAAGCAGAGGAAGGCAGCAGATACTGTAAATCCTGAAGCAAGATGTGGTTATCTCTTGGAAGCGTTTGGATCACCACCGTGCACTAAAGCACAACTTACAGCCCTAAGTCATTTCAGTAAAAGCCATTTCTCTGCTGACTACTTCAAAGCCTGTCCCTTCTTCCTAAATGTGAGGTAATTGGAAATAGGTATGTCTCGGTTTAGGAGGTTGTGCAAATACTACTGAAACTGAATCTAGAAGAATAAGGCAGTGTTTTACTGCTTCTGGGAAGATTTAAACCTTTCCCACTTGTGCCCTGATTCTGCAATCAAATCTTTAGCAATGGAGCACTAAATACCACATTGCCTTCAGGGAAGTTGGAATCGGTGCAGGTACCTGCCCAAAAGGATTAGATTGCAGGATTGGGACTGTACTTTGTAAATGTAGGTTTTTCATATCATTTTGTATTTTATGATATCGGTAGGGTGAATTGATGACTAGTTCTGAGCACGAACAGCTATCAATGTCATGGAGTGATGTTACGCATTTCCAGGTGTGAGGCATGTATTGGAGTTGTGCTGGTATTTTTTTGGAAAAAAAAAAAGAGCCATGTATGCTAGAAATTGATTTCTTGTCTGGATGACACAAACTAAGTGATTTACAGTATTGTATGAAGTTTATTATAGCCACTGTTACTTTGTTTTGAATTTCTGAAACTGTTTATAGAAGATGATGTTTTGTTTTGATGTTGGTGAGTGGTGGATGACACACGGGCCTTGCACCAGTGAAATAAAAGCTGTTAACATCTTTATGAATGTTTGTGGTGGTCCTGATTTACCTTCTCCTCTGGTTTGTCTCACGAGATTAGCTTTCCATTTGCCTGTCACTGTACATGGAATCGTGGTAGCACTGGAGACTTCTGATCCAGACTCTTGCTCAGTGCAGGGCTCACTTCATTTGAAAACAAATGAGGAAATGTGCTCATGTTCACTCTTCATAAAAAACATTGATAGTGAAATACTAATACAGGATGATCAAATGTCCTGAAGCTGAGTTTCCCTGCTCTTCAACTCTTTGGAAGGCTGTGACCTACCTACTACGCTACAGACCATGTGAGTTTAAGAGAGCCATTGGGCAGAAAAAAAAATTCAAGATGAGATGTGCCAGAGGACAAATGCAGATGCGAGTTGTTAGCCCCTTCTGTCTTGCTGACTACTGTTGGGCTAATTTAAGCTTGTTGGCAGGTAAGGTTGCCTTTTCAGTTATGTTTTATGAGTTTCTTGCAAATAGTTAATGAATAAACACAATGACCTATGAAGAGCAAGTTGAAAATGCTTCTCTCCCCTTCTGTTTTGGGTGCTCACCCGAGAAGGAGTACGTGCGCTGGCTTTGAATCCTCTAGGACAGAGGAAGGAATTGAACCCATGACGGAGTCAGAAGGGCCAGCAGGTATCTAGCCCACCTCCAGACGCTTACACACCAGCAACTACTAGTGCACTTCTGCAAAGCGTGTTTTCTTGAGGAGCGCTGTCTCTAAACGTAATGCAGCAGGGCAGATTTCTGGAGCCTGCTGAGGGTATTAGTTTGCTGCTCTAACAGCTGTTGTTGAAGGGGTGGTGGTCCTGCTTTGTCCTTGGAGCAGGCTCTGGTGATGCACAGGATGCTTCTGTGAGACAATTTGTCATGCTAACCTTGCAGAAAACTCCCCCCCACCTCTGTTTTCTTGAATGCAATGGTCTGTTAGAATGGCTCACCCTGTTTGGTGAAGCTGCAAGTTTGCTGAGTAGAACCTGGACCTAAACTGGTCTTGAGCTTTGCTGCTGGTTGCCTAATGGTTTGTTCTTCCTTTTTTTAATTGGCTGGTAAAATGCCTTGCAAATCTATTGAAAAGCACTGTAAAGATCTAGATCAACAGCATTGTTTCAGTGGTGGGACTGCATGGAGACGGGGTGTAGGTAAGCTAAACCTGCAGCAAGAAGTTCAGTCTGATGTGCATAGTTACAGTTGGGGCTTCTGACTTTGTTGAGGGTTTGTGATACCGTATGCCCATTAGAAAAGGGGATTACTTGTCCCCATCAACCAATTAGAAAATGGTGTGATTTAGCCTTGATTAACTCTGACTTGATTTGAGTCAATGCTCTAAAAGTGCAAGGTGTTGTTTCCTGGTACCGATCTTCTGAGCCTTTTCCTTTTTTCAGTAGTATTTAAAAGCACTTAAGGCTTTTATGAACCTGAAGAGCATTGTGCGTATGTTCAGCGTGGTGTTTTCAATTAAACACAATTAGTGAAGCCTTGACGTGAACTGGAGTACTGATCTTTCTGTAAATAATTCATTCTTTGTGATCACTGGGTTCTCTCTCATCTGGAGGAATTACTGTTGTGCCAAACAAGTGTTGGAGATGGAACGAGTGAAGAGCTTATTTAAAACCACCAGGGATACTGAGCAGAGATATGCAGCCTCCTGCTTAATTGAGAAGTACACTGCATAATATTAAAAAGTGCTGCGTGGTGGCTGTCAGATAGTTACAGTGAATGAAAGCTCAGGTAAAACTGTGGCAAAGGAATAGCCAGTTATCTCATTTTCATATGCTGGCCTTCAGTAAGAGCATTTTTGCAAAAGGTAGGAACACAAAGTTGTGAAGAGGAGTGTCCGTATAATTTTTCAACTTCTTAGGTTTCTTTTTTGCTATCTAAATGTGTGTGATAGAAGAGGCAGAATAGTCTGTCTCTGCATCTTGCTTCTGTGACTGCTTTTGTTCTTGCTGTTTCACATCTGATGATTCTGCTGTGAACACTCAGGGCCTAACCCAAAGTCAGTGGAAAAGGGTTCTCTTTGGCATTATTGATCCTGTAATCTTCTAGATTCCATTTGTTACTGCCTACCATGTCACTGTTGACCATGCTGCATCATTTCAGGCAAGTCACTTCATCTCTGCATGCTTTTTCCTGATCTTTTCCTGGGGACTGCCTCTTAGACAATACCTTCACGTTTGTCTGCTCTGACATAACTATCAAATCCTGAGGTGCAGATGTCTGACGTGGTCACTTTGGCTTCAAAGAGAGGAGCAGAATTCTGTCCTGAGGGCAAGTCATCTCATCCTAGGATATGCATCTAAACCAGGTTGGTTGACTCATTCTTTGGCAGCGCTTCCTCCATTCAGTTGACTGTAAAAATCTATGATGTCTAGCACAGATGTTACATTGAATTCTTCAAGGTTCAAAGCTAGATGGGAAAAAAAAAAATCCCACTCTGGTTTTGGGCTCTGGGCACTGCAGACGGTACACACGAAGCAGTTGGGGGTGCAGGCTCACTGAGGAGGAGGGCTGATGCAGTTCTATACCCATGAGAAGTGGTGAAGGATGAGTGCTGTGCTGCTTCAGCTGCCAAATGCCTTGAGGAATTTTTTACCTTAACATTATTTAAATGAACAACCTCTGTGGTCCTGCTTGTGTGTTCACAGCTTTAGTCTAACTGCACCAACCTGTTAGGTGTTGGTTACACTTTCTCCCTGTTTTTATGAATGGTTTAAAGAGTAACTCCTGTAAACTGCAGCTTATTCACGTGCAGGGTAAGGGCGTGCTAGCGCAGCAGTTTGATGTGCCTCAGGAAACATGCATGTCTAGCAGCTGCCGTGCTGTGTTCCCACAGCGTTGTTCAGCACAGAGCTCCCGAGAGGCAGCGGCTTTCTCACGTGCACCAGCACTTGTCGCATTGTTCAGGAAGGAAATTCTCTCCACTCTATATGCAGTGCAGTTTCAGTGGCGCTTGTGTCTTGCAGCACTCTCCTGCCAGGCAGATAGATGAAAGGCTCCAGAGCCAGCCTAAGAATCAATGCTGCCTTCAGCTATTGTTGAAGTAGAGGTCAAGCTAAATCAGGACATTTGGATTATTTTTCAGCTTTCCCTCTGCTGGACTTGGGAAGAAGAGGGGGCACTTTGCAATTCCTTAGGCATTTAAATGAGACTTTCATTTTTTTTTTTTTTACCAATACATTACAATAAAAGGTCGATGTTATACTGGGGAGAAGCATGGGCTTCATCAGTTTAATAAGTAATTAAACAAACTCTGTCACCTCTCCTGCTTCTCTAGTGCTATTTCCCTTCAAGTCCTCTTGAGTTCAGCTGATGAACGTAACTGGGTTATATTGTTAGTCCTTGTTTCTTATGCCTAGTTTGAAGTTTGGTGCTGCTTTGCTTGTGGTCCCAGGAGCCTGTTACATCTTCCCTGTTAAATCAGCTGTTCTAAAATTAAAGATTTTACATTTCCCAACAAACATGGCATCTCGTGTTGTGAATGAATGTATGGAAAATCATGAAGGAATTTTTTCCTAATTTTCAATTTGTCTTCCTCTGTAAGTAGGGCAAGGAACTGATAGAGCTGCCAGTAATGGGAAGTCTTTAACTCTTTGACTACCGGGGAAACAAGGAGCTGATGTGGATTTGGAAAGTCAGAAAACGGAGTTTGTCATCATGTGTATCTTGTTTGTGATGCCTGTGGAGTCATGTGCATCTGCACTTTAAGAAGTGCTGCTCTATTATGTCTGTTGTACATCAGTAAGTAAAGGAGCAGCATAGTTTATCTGGAAGGCTGTGTTCATCTCAAGCAATTTTTCAGCAGTTTGCTGGGCTGTTGTTTTTCTAGCACCCTGTGGGGTAATGGCAAGAGTTGCAGCTGCTTTTACAAAGGGAAGATTGTTCACTGCCTTTAGCAGGAGGTAACACTATGTATGGAAGAGAGATATTTTTAATGCAAACCTGTATTGCTTATAATTCTGTGTCTGCTGGTAATCTGCGGTTTGGTACAGGAGACAGGTGCTTTGGGTCAGTTCCAATAAGGATGTAGTCAAAACAGAAGATATGTTGCTGAGGTGGTGGGGACCTACCTGGCTGACAGAGTAGCTCCAGAGTTGGCAGCTGGGTGATAAGGGTACACTGCTCTGGACTAGGCACTTGGGGTGCCTGGCGTTAGTTTATGAGCAGGGTCGCAGCCAGCCCCTAGGAAATACTAGACATGACTGTGTCCTAATTCTTGTCCTTCCTCTGGAGCATCAAAGTGCAGAAACAGGATGTGTTTTGGTGGGGGGTGGTGTTTACATTACCCTCCTTCAGAGTTTCTGTAACTTGGCAGGGCTCAGTCTTTTTAGTGCAGCAGGTGATGCCTGCCTCTAAGGTACCAACGGCAGCTGAGGAAACTTCTCATCAGGTTGAAGTGGTCTCTCCTACTTTCGAAGTCCCTTGCACCAGGAGAGGATGTGAGAGGCTGGATCTAGCATCCAGGAGTGGAGTGGGCAAGTTCTAGTTTCTACATTTGAACTGTTTAGGCACTCGTAGTAGTAATCATTGGTTAAAAATAGAAGTACTCTTGGATCAGTGAAGAGATTCACCATGTTAGTGTGGTGAATATAAAGAGATGACCAGAAGAATAGTCCTCAGTACCACTTGGAGGTATGGTCTGATGTGGTTTCACTCCATTTTGGACTGGGTCAGCATCTACTGCAGTTTAAGTCCTCGTAACTTCTTTCCAAAGAGTTGCTAGAAATGTATTTCTGCCCTTTGCTTGATGGTTGATTGACGTAAGTGGCAATTTATGACAGATTTCTTTCATTAGTTTTAATTTGTGCATCCGGTAAGGTATAGAAAACCAACTATTGGTGCAACAAATATGCAAACTGAGGGTAGAAATCCTGATGTTTTCTAGGCTGTGTATTCTGATGCTTATTAATCATGCTTCTTGTTTAATAGCCTGCATCACTGGCTGTGCTATCGCTTTTACTGTGGCTTGCTTGCAGAATATTTTAGTACGTTTGTTCATCTA